TATCTTTTTAAAGTGACTATCCATGATCATGTCATCCTTTCATAATTGACAGTTCTCCAGCTAATATACTCTTCAAAAAAAGAAACTTGACACTGACTTTCAAAATGTAATATAATGCGATTGTTTCAAAATAGGACACAGAAACCATAATTGAAACACTGTTTGAAGATCAATGTACACAATGTTCAAAACATTAATCGTGTCACCTAGACAGACACATGTACACGATACAGTTAATGTCACAGGGGTACAGAAAATTGCAGTATCAGTTGTGCCCACCACGTGCATCAATCACCGCCTGACACCGATGACCCATAGATGCAATCAAGTTGTCAATAACACGCTGTTGGATGTGCTGCCATTCATGCTGAAGTGCATCAAGAAGCAACTGAAGTGTTTGGGGCGGTGGATTCCTTCTGCGAACGCGTCGATTCAACTCATCCCACAGATGCTCAATCGGGGACAAATCTGGTGACCGGGCTGGCCAAGGTAATGTCTGGATGTTGTTGTGCTGTAAGAAGTCCTGACAAACACGTGCAATATGCGGTCGAGCGTTGTCCTGCTGGAACTGTCCGCCATGAACGTTGACATGAGGAAGAACGTAAGGCTGTAGGATCAAGTCTCTGTAACGCACACCTGTCAATGCACCTGCCACATGCACGAGAGGTGTCCTACCACCGTGATGAATTCCGGCCCATACCATGACACTCCCAACGCCAAATGGGACAACCTGCTGCACACAGTCGGGGGCGTAACGTTCAGCCCGACGTCTGTAGACACATGCGCGCCCATCAGCATGTGTGAGTAGGAAACAGGACTCGTCAGTTAACAGTACATTTCTCCACCTTACACGTGCCCATCTAACCCACCAAAGCAGACGGTCTGCCAGATGACGTGGGGTCAATACATGACGTCGAACAGGTCTTCGTGCAAAAAGTCCAGCCTCCCTCAGTCTGTTGATACCGTTTGATCTGATATTCTGCATAACCCAGGGATCTGTGTGGTTGTAGATGTTGCTGTGGTAGTGCGGTCTTGGAGGTGTCACAGTCGGATGTATCGATCTTGTGCTTGGGTTGTCACCCTTGGTCTTCCTGACCTTGGTCTATCGTCAACTCTGTTGGTGTTGTTGTATTGGGTGCACAGTGCGGATATTGTCTGTCTGGATACGCCAAAGTGCCTGGCCACTTCTTGCTGAGTTGCTCCAGCTTGTAATCTCTCAATGGCGTTGTTCCGTTGAGCTGCATTCAGTCTTGGCATTCTGTCACCGCCTCTACTGCCGTTATAAGGACTGTATGAACAGCCGTTGATGTGGATTTTTATACCCATTCAGCAGGGGGGCCTGCATGCCTAAATGCAGGATCCTGTGCTGCACATTTTTTTACAGGCGGTTGCGTTTGGATGAAGCTGTAAAATTGATCCCCAAACGCTACGTTTATGTGCTTTGCATGTGTTTTCGCCAATTATAGACACATCATCTTTCTGTTTGATGTATTTGGTTCTCATTTAATGTAATTATTTTAGATATTTGGCAAAAAGTGGTTTTACATCTATGTCAAGTTTCTTTTTTTGAAGAGTATACATAAATGCTCAAACATTTAACACTGTGTTCAAATTTTATGTCTTTTACTATAATCAGTTATAATAAATAACAAACAACTTCAATAAACATAATCTTTTATTTATCATGATTGTAATAGGTAAACATGGTAAAGTTGCATGGCCACTTGCGTTTCATTTTGGCTACTGATTAAAAATATTTACTTGGCTATCAACAAGTAAGTCAAAAAGTGAACTTTGAGCCCTGCCATGATGTACTAACTTGGTCAAATTTGAGATTGATACTGGCAATTCAAAACCTATGAAGCAGCTTCCGCGCTGATTACCATTCCATAAACAAGAGATTGAAATTCAACCTGAAGATAAAGAAAAAACAACTTTTTCTACACCATTTGGGTTATACCAGTTCACTAGAATGCCATTTGGGTTATACCAGTTCACTAGAATGCCATTTGGGTTATACCAGTTCACTAGAATGCCATTTGGGTTATACCAGTTCACTAGAATGCCATTTGGGTTATACCAGTTCACTAGAATGCCATTTGGGTTATACCAGTTCACTAGAATGCCATTTGGGTTATACCAGTTCACTAGAATGCCATTTGGGTTATACCAGTTCACTAGAATGCCATTTGGGGTCACAAATTTTCCTGCATGTTTCTCTAGAAATGTCTGAAATTTGCAAACCCCATCTAATATCACTGAATTGAGATCATTTCTGGACATGTGCTTGTATTATCGTCAATGTGTGAAGAATTTTGCTTCCATTGCAGCACCCTAACAGAAACTTTCAAACAAGGGAGAAAAATTTGTATGGACTGCAGAGTCTGAAAAATCTTTCTCAAGATTAAAACAATTACTAACTGAGGCTCCAATCTTATCATACCCCCAATTTGATTAGGAATTTCTTCTTGACACAGATGCAAACGATACAGGGATAGGTGGAGTTTTGAGTCAAATTCAAGATGGGATAGAAACTGTTATTGCATATGCTAGCAGAGCTATGAGCAAACCAGAGAGAAGATTCTGCACCACTACTTGCTGTCGTACAAATGTGTAAACCTTTCAGAGACAATTTGATTGGACGTCAGTTTCTGATAAGAACTGATCATGGATCTTTCAAATGGTTTATAATTTCAGGGATCAGAAGGGTCAAGTTGCAAGATGGATAGAATCTTCAGCAGTATTTGATTTTCAAATTGAACACAGACCAGGCCTGAAACATGGAAATGCAGATGGGCTGTCCAGAAAGCCTTGTTCACAGTGCCATCAAAGTTTTCTTGAAGACATTCTGATGTCAACTGCGTACTGTGGGGAAGTTCAATGTTTGGACAGAGAAGAAACCAGCTGACAAAGTATTGAGAGAGGTATGGAGCTGGGTGAATAAAGGGCATCGGCCAGCCTCGAAACATTCATAATGCGTCAAGAGAAATGCAAGGACTCTGGTCTGATTTGGACTTAATAGAAGTAGTGGATGGCATTTTGTATACAGATGGAAAGAAGGTGATGAAAAGGCTAGTACCAAGAAATTGACAATTGTTCCAAAATGTATGAGGTAAGAAATAATGAAACTTTGCCAAGACAACACAACATCTGGACATTTAGGACATAAACAGACACTTGAAAGAATAAGAACCAGATTCTTTTGGATAAGCATGAAACACAATGTGAAGGAATGGTGTGGTAGTTGTATGCAGTGTGTGAAAAGGAGCTTGCAAATCTCAAAAAGCACTGTTAATGGATACAACTAACCCTATTGTACAACCTCTAGAAAGGATTGCAGTAGACATTACAGGCCCGCTGCTAGATACAGAAAGAGGTAGCTGTTTTACTATGGTGGTTATCGACTATTTTACAAAGCATGTGGAATGCAATCCTATGCTGGATCAGAGAGCACACACTGTCAGAAAACATCTTGTGTACGGGTTTGTTAGTAGATATGGAGTTCTGAAAGGTCTACATTCTGACCAAAGGAGAAACTTTGAATCACTTGTATTCAAATCTATGTGTGATAGACTTGGTATGACAAAAACACGTACAAGTCCCTGTAACCTGGAATAAGATGGAATGGTTGAACGCTTTATGAGGACTATGGGAGATGTTTTGAGCAAGTATCATGTGTTGGTATGTTGCCAAAAATCAATGTGCCTGGAATGAACATCTACCTCTGGTGGCAATGGCTTAGGGAGGGAGGTTGCTGGGGGGATGACAGTTAAACGTTAGTCTGGTTGAGAGTGCTGCTGTGTGCACACGTGTACTGTTGTCAAATATATACCCGAATAAACTACCTTGACTCATGACATCATCGTCTTGTCATCTGGGCCATATTCCAATCTAACAAAGCCAACACTTTATCACGGGACCACAGACAATATTACAAATAATTAGCAAGTGATCAGCACCTGACTGTTTACCGATATCCGCATACCAAGTAGAAATTTTTTCCGCGAAATTCAAAACTTCATAAACATTGAACATATTTTCCTAAAATTACATTGGATTACTTCATTATGAGACAGCTGACCCATACCCAACCTATAACTAACCCAATGGAACATAAAGGGCTGTTTGATTGGCAATGTGCCCATCCATAAGGAATGTGAAGGCATGTTTGATCGGAAAAGGGTACCTAGCCCCAATGATCATAAAGGTGTGCTTGATCGGAAAGGGGATCCAAGGGTTCAGGATAGAGTTAGGGGAACTTAACCTGACCCAAACACAACAACACCTCGAAGAGGCACACAACAACTGTGAAGCAAGAGCCACTGCAAGCTGCCACCGGCAAAGGCATTGCTGCCAATATGTATATTAGTGACCAGTAGATGTCAGATAAAAAAAGTATTTTTACGATGCTCTCACCAATATTCCAGCTATATGACAGTGGTCTGTAAATAATCAAGTCCAGACAAGTCAGTGACTGACATCATGAGCATCGATATACGCAATTGGGATACGATGACATACATGTATCAACCATGGAATCAAGCCTGAGCACCTTATCCCGTTAGTTGATTTTTACACGGTAGTCGCCTTTACTACAAGCTTGGGTTGCTGAAGACCAATTCTAACCATGATCTTCACGGTTGATTTTCACATAAGTCAAATTAGGAACAGAACATAGCTACGATATACCAGTTAATCCTACCTGTGTACCGGCTTGATGGAGCGGTCGGGTATTGCTTTGACCTAGGGTCGTAAAACTTTAAAAACTCTCTCGCTCACCACTGGTTTGCTGAAGAATACCATGCTTTCTAACTTTTATCAGGATACATTTTCGCAAAATGACTGGAAGTAACTATTCTGACTGAAAACATAGGCTACAGGCCTATATATATGAGAAAAGACACAACCTTATGTCCAGCTGATGTCTGATCAGAAATGACTTTTGGCCAAGTAAAAGCATTAATTGTGTGTGTCATTTGATGATATTAACTTTACCTTACCTTAGAATTTGGGCTACTGTGGCCATTTCAGCATAGACGTCTTGCTACTGCATTTCGAGATAGTATTCCCTTCAAACAAAACCTAAATCAACGTAACATGTCTTCGATGAGTCGCGGTGTTTCAGGCTCTGTGAAGAGAAACGAAAATATATATCTAAGTGAAAAATCAAAGTTAGAACGTCCTCACGCTTTGTGTCTCATATTCGAAGCCTTTCTTCCATCTTGAAATATTACATATTTAATCAAAACAACACTCGATATCTTATGATCTTTCATTTACAGACTGTTATTTCATTGATCATAGTTCGTTTTAATTCCAATCCAAAACTGAGTTGGGCTTTTGTAAAAACACAAACATTAAACTGTTTCCAGCCATGTGTTGCGCTAAACCTGTTGCGAAGGAGACACTGGTCATAACTGCATGGGTTCATCTAGGCCAATGTGTGCGTCAAAACGCCCCAGTTCTCTTGATGTAGACAAAAACGGACCAACATATGACACAGCCCTAAGGTCAACCACACAAAGGGTACAGGTAAGCATCATAACAGAATGTTCGCGGAGTAAAAGCAATGGTCCAGTTACGTCTCTCTCTCTCTCTCTCTCTCTCTCTCTCTCTCTCTCTCTGCGAGTGCGCCATTAGGGGCGGATCATTGATTGGGGGGGGGGGGGACGTCGTGGAGTCTTAAAAAAATAGTGACAATATTGAAAGTACAAGAATACAATAAAATGCATTTCTCCAGCCTGAGATTGGCCAGGTGACACCAGATCCATTAGACTCACTTTTCATATTAAATATTAAAAGCCAATATCATTCAGCCCAGTTCTTCTGAAATGCACTCTCCCGTTTCTCTCACCGTTTGCATTACCTATCAATATGTGTGGGGCGGTCGGGTAGCCTAGTGGTTAAAGCGTTCGCTCGTCACGCCGAAGACCCGGGTTCGATTCCCGACATGGGTACAATGTGTGAAGCCCATTTCTGGTGTCCCCCGCCGTGATGTTGCTGGAATATTGCTAAAAGCGGCGTAAAACCATACACACTCACTCGCTCACTCACTCAATACAACCTTATGAAAAAAGAGGCGTCTTTCGAATGGCCCAACAATTGCCAACAGGCAATCGAAAAGCTAAAGCAAGCCCTTACAACATCCCCCATCCTTGCATATCCCGACCAAAACAAACCCTTCTTCTCACAACTGATCCATCTCAAACTGCAAAAGGGTACATTTTAGGCAAACTTGATTCTCATGGCATAATTTGTTTTGACAATACAAGTTTCTTCCTTTACATTGGTCCTGTTCTGTTTTAGGAACAAACAATGTTTGTTCGTTACGTCAGTTTAGGTTATTGCAATAAACTATTTTTATTTAGATATATGTTTATGTTGTATTTTTTTCCCAAGTAAGGGTACATGATGCTTAATGGTCATTTCACATCACAGTCAACAACTGTTTCAGGGGGACAAGCGGAGTCAATAACCTTATCCAAGGATACCACACAGTGACTTGCATGATATGGCCTCTTGAAATGGAAGATTTGAAATGACTATTAAATTTTAACTCACTCATTCTGTCAAAGATTATGGCTCTGCTCACGGAATACTCTGTATTGATGAGGATGGCCATATTGCGGTCGAGACTGTTTATTGAGGCAGAGGTGTTTTTTCAAGCGGATGGAGGCTGAGTTTTTATTTACACAAAATTATGAGCTGTGTGGGGTTTTTAAATATTAAAAATCATTGTTTGCATACATGAATGATTTTAATGCAACCTCATAATGCATGATGAATTAAAAAACTCTAACTTCTTTTTTAAAAGAAATCTTTAATCAACTAGTATATGCTTAAATCAACTGGTTTATGCTTAAATCAATCTCGATACACCCACAACCGTCACTATGCACCATAAAGTTTGGCATAGCATAGCACCAGAAATGTTCTATTGACAATATATACCACATACACGATATAAATGCATTTTAAACATAGAATTGTTAGACCATTTACAACCAGAGTTGTTGTTTTTAAAGAATAAAAGTGAAATGAAAATTAATTAATTGGGATACAAAATCAAATAGCGGATTTCAACACCTGGCCATTCCTGGTTAATGTCTGCACACAACTGGCAAACTATTTTTAACCATTTTTCGCTTGCATAAGAAAGTGTTCCAACCGTGAAAACATACCATTTATACTTATTGGGAACAAGGTACATATTTTGTTTAAAAGTGAGCAGGCAGGTTTTCTTTGACCTCAGCAGGAAGGCATTCCACTTCCAGCACAAATAAACTGCGCTTAGCATAAGCTGGTTCCCGGCTCCCTATGCGCGTCGTCAACTTGCGCCAATTTTTTTATCACAATTTCTTACCTCAAAGGATGTAGGCCAAGATCTAAACACAATTTTATTTAGTACGTGTCACTTCATGTTTACACTGACAGTCATACAACAACCAGCTATATCGCGGAATAAAATAGTTCCTCAAAAAGAGATGTGACATGAGCGTATGGATGCATAGCTTGCTCTTCAGAAACATCTTACACAACACATGTCTTCAAATTACACCACCATTAGATGCAAAAAGGTCTGTTACTTCTGTAAGTCAATCCAACGTTCATACAGTTTGGCCTTCACTCTATGGACCCGTGAAGATCCGGGATAGAATAGGTCTTCAGCAACCCATGCTTGCCGTAAAAGGCGACTATGCTTGTCGTAAAAGGCGACTAACGGGATCGGGTGGTCAGGCTCGCTGACTTGGTTTGATGCATGTCTTCGGTCCCAATTGCGTGGATCGATGCTCATGATATTAATCACTTGATTGTCTGGTCCAGACTCGATTATTTACAGACCGCCGTCATATACCTGGAATATTGCCGAGTGCGGCGTAAAACAACAAACAAACAAACAAACCTTCACTCCATAAAGGTTCATACTCCAATGAACTCACACAAAGTGAAGGTCGATTCTTAAATAAACTGCGCTTGGCATTGAGACAATGTGCATGACGATGACGTCATGTCACCTCTGTGACGTCACTATATTGTCCTGGCTGTGGTACATACGAGTGAGAGGGGACGTAAGACGTGTGTATCCATTATATACCAAGCTTACGCCGTGACACGACATGTCGTCTCCAGCAAGGGAATCAGTGTCCGAGCTAAGTACTGACTTCTCAGTGAAACTACCATCCCCTAAGTATTCGGAGTCCCCGACAGATTCTCCTGGGGATGATAAACCAACATCAATAATTCCAGTGGAAAAAATCATGGGTAAGCAAAATTCATATCTTTGGTTATTTCTAGAATAGATATGTTTATACATATAATACGATTGAAACTAACCAATTTTTTCAAGGTAATATTTGTTTTCAACCCTATACATGCATTATACCCCTGAAGGAACCCATGCTTGTCGTAAAAGGCGACTATGCTTGTCGTAAGAGGCGACTTACGGGATCGGGTAGTCAGGCTCGCTGACTTTGTTGATACAATCATATCATCGTATCCCAATTGCGTGGATCGATGCTCATGATATCAGTCACTGGGTTGTCTGGTCAAGACTCGATTATTAACAGACCTCTGGAATATTGTTGAGTGCGACGTTAAACATTATCTCCTCGTTCAAATCACATGTACGTTTACTGTGGTGAATAACAGACACATATCGCTATTCATAAACGGATCATCTGTCAGGTTTCGTTTCGAATATAGAGGCAGGAAGTGGAGAGTTGTCCGAGGAGACAACTCTGTCTTATTTCCTCTGGGGTTTCTGCTAGACCCTGTTGCCTGGATGTTTCTGATAGGCCCTGTTGACTGGATGTATCTGATAGACCCTGTTGCGTGGATGTTTCTGATAGGCCCTCCTGCCTTGATGTTTCTGATAGACCCTGTTGCCTGGATGTTTCTGATAGACCCTATTGCCTTGATGTTCCTGATGGACCCTGTTGCCTGGATGTTTCTGATAGACCCTCCTGCCTTGATGTTTCTGATAGACCCTGTTGCCTGGATGTTTCGGATAGACCCTCCTGCCTTGATGTTTCTGATAGACCCTGTTGCCTGGTTGTTTCTGATAGACCCTATTTCCTGGATGTTTCTGATAGACCCTGTTGCCTGGATGTTTCTGATAGACCCCATTGACTGGATGTTCCTGATAGACCCTGTTGCCTGGATGTTTCTGATAGACCCTGTTGCGTGGATGTTTCTGATAGACCCTGTTGCCTGGATGTTTCTGATAGACCCTATTGCCTGGATGTTTCTGATAGACCCTGTTGCCTGGATGTTTCTGATAGACCCTGTTGCCTGGATGTTTCTGATAGACCCTATTGCCTGGATGTTTCTGATAGACCCTGTTGCCTGGATGTTTCTGATAGACCCCGTTGCGTGGATGTTTCTTATAGACCCTCCTGCCTTGATGTTTCTGATAGACCCTCCTGCCTGGATGTTTCTGATAAACCCTATTGCCTTGATGTTTCTGATAGACCCTGTTGCCTGGATGTTTCAAATAGACCCTATTGCCTTGATGTTTCTGATAGACCCTGTTGCCTTGATGTTTCTGATAGACCCTCCTGCCTTGATGTTTCTGATAGACCCTGTTGCCTGGATGTTTCTCATAGACCCTGTTGCCTGGTTGTTTCTGATAGACCCCATTGACTGGATGTTCCTGATAGACCCTATTGCCTCGATGTTTCTGATAGACCCTGTTGCCTGGATGTTTCTGATAGACCCTCCTGCCTTGATGTTTCTGATAGACCCTGTTGCCTGGATGTTTCTCATAGACCCTATTGCCTCGATGTTTCTGATAGACCCTGTTGCCTGGATGTTTCTGATAGACCCAGTTGCCTGGATGTTTCTGATAGACCCTGTTGCGTGGATGTTTCTGATAGACCCTGTTGCCTGGATGTTTCTGATAGACCCTATTGCGTGGATGTTTCTATTTGACCCTGTTGCTTGGATGTTTCTGATAGACCCTGTTGCCTGGATGTATCTGATAGACCCTATTGCCTGGATGTTTCTGATAGACCCTTTCCCTGGATGTTTCTGATAGACCCCGTGGCCTGGATGTTTCTGATAGACCCCATTCACTGGATGTTCCTGATAGACCCTGTTGCCTGGATGTTTCTGATAGACCCTATTGCCTTGATGTGTCTGATAGACCCTATTGCCTGGATGTTTCTGATAGACCCTCCTGCCTTGATGTTTCTGATAGACCCTGTTGCCTGGATGTTTCGGATAGACCCTCCTGCCTTGATGTTTCTGATAGACCCTGTTGCCTGGTTGTTTCTGTTGGACCCCATTGACTGGATCTTCCTGATAGACCCTGTTGCCTGGATGTTTCTGATAGACCCTGTTGCGTGGATGTTTCTGATATACCCTGTTGCGTTGATGTTTCTGATAGACCCTATTGCCTGGATGTTTCTATTTGACCCTGTTGCTTGGATGTTTCTGATGGACCCTGTTGCCTGGATGTATCTGATAGACCCTATTGCCTGGATGTTTCTGATAGACCCTTTCCCTGGATGTTTCTGATAGACCCCGTGGCCTGGATGTTTCTGATAGGCCCTTTGCCTGGATGTTTCTGATAGACCCTTTTGCCTGGATGTATCTGATAGACCCTGTTGCCTGGATGTTTCTGATAGACCCTGTTGCCTTGATGTTTCTGATAGACCCTGTTGCCTGGATGTATCTGATAGACCCTTTTGCCTGGATGTTTCTTATAGACCCTGTTGCCTGGATGTTTCTGCTAGACCCTATTGCCTGGATGTTTCTGATAGACCCTCCTGCCTTGATGTTTGTGATAGACCCTGTGGCCTTGATGTTTCTGATAGACCCTCCCGCCTTGATGTTTCTGATAGACCCTGTTGCCTGGATGTTCCTGATAGACCCTATTGCCTGGATGTTTCTGATAGACCCTGTTGCCTGGATGTTTCTGATAGACCCTGTTGCCTGGATGTTTCTGATAGACCCTGTTGCCTGGATGTTTCTGATAGACCCTGTTGCCTGGTTGTTTCTAATAGACCCAGTTGCGTGGATGTTTCTGCTAGACCCTGTTGCCTGGATGTTTCTGATAGACCCTATTGCCTTGATGTTTCTCATAGACCCTGTTGCCTGGTTGTTTCTGATAGACCCCATTGACTGGATGTTCCTGATAGACCCTATTGCCTCGATGTTTCTGATAGACCCTGTTGCCTGGATGTTTCTGATAGACCCTCCTGCCTTGATGTTTCTGATAGACCCTGTTGCCTGGATGTTTCTCATAGACCCTATTGCCTCGATGTTTCTGATAGACCCTGTTGCCTGGATGTTTCTGATAGACCCAGTTGCCTGGATGTTTCTGATAGACCCTGTTGCGTGGATGTTTCTGATAGACCCTGTTGCCTGGATGTTTCTGATAGACCCTATTGCGTGGATGTTTCTATTTGACCCTGTTGCTTGGATGTTTCTGATAGACCCTGTTGCCTGGATGTATCTGATAGACCCTATTGCCTGGATGTTTCTGATAGACCCTTTCCCTGGATGTTTCTGATAGACCCCGTGGCCTGGATGTTTCTGATAGACCCCATTCACTGGATGTTCCTGATAGACCCTGTTGCCTGGATGTTTCTGATAGACCCTATTGCCTTGATGTGTCTGATAGACCCTATTGCCTGGATGTTTCTGATAGACCCTCCTGCCTTGATGTTTCTGATAGACCCTGTTGCCTGGATGTTTCGGATAGACCCTCCTGCCTTGATGTTTCTGATAGACCCTGTTGCCTGGTTGTTTCTGTTGGACCCCATTGACTGGATCTTCCTGATAGACCCTGTTGCCTGGATGTTTCTGATAGACCCTGTTGCGTGGATGTTTCTGATATACCCTGTTGCGTTGATGTTTCTGATAGACCCTATTGCCTGGATGTTTCTATTTGACCCTGTTGCTTGGATGTTTCTGATGGACCCTGTTGCCTGGATGTATCTGATAGACCCTATTGCCTGGATGTTTCTGATAGACCCTTTCCCTGGATGTTTCTGATAGACCCCGTGGCCTGGATGTTTCTGATAGGCCCTTTGCCTGGATGTTTCTGATAGACCCTTTTGCCTGGATGTATCTGATAGACCCTGTTGCCTGGATGTTTCTGATAGACCCTGTTGCCTTGATGTTTCTGATAGACCCTGTTGCCTGGATGTATCTGATAGACCCTTTTGCCTGGATGTTTCTTATAGACCCTGTTGCCTGGATGTTTCTGCTAGACCCTATTGCCTGGATGTTTCTGATAGACCCTCCTGCCTTGATGTTTGTGATAGACCCTGTGGCCTTGATGTTTCTGATAGACCCTCCCGCCTTGATGTTTCTGATAGACCCTGTTGCCTGGATGTTCCTGATAGACCCTATTGCCTGGATGTTTCTGATAGACCCTGTTGCCTGGATGTTTCTGATAGACCCTGTTGCCTGGATGTTTCTGATAGACCCTGTTGCCTGGATGTTTCTGATAGACCCTGTTGCCTGGTTGTTTCTAATAGACCCAGTTGCGTGGATGTTTCTGCTAGACCCTGTTGCCTGGATGTTTCTGATAGACCCTATTGCCTTGATGTTCCTGATGGACCCTGTTGCCTGGATGTTTCTGATAGACCCTCCTGCCTTGATGTTTCTGATAGACCCTGTTGCCTGGATGTTTCGGATAGACCCTCCTGCCTTGATGTTTCTGATAGACCCTGTTGCCTGGTTGTTTCTGATAGACCCTATTTCCTGGATGTTTCTGATAGACCCTGTTGCCTGGATGTTTCTGATAGACCCCATTGACTGGATGTTCCTGATAGACCCTGTTGCCTGGATGTTTCTGATAGACCCTGTTGCGTGGATGTTTCTGATAGACCCTGTTGCCTGGATGTTTCTGATAGACCCTATTGCCTGGATGTTTCTGATAGACCCTGTTGCCTGGATGTTTCTGATAGACCCTGTTGCCTGGATGTTTCTGATAGACCCTATTGCCTGGATGTTTCTGATAGACCCTGTTGCCTGGATGTTTCTGATAGACCCCGTTGCGTGGATGTTTCTTATAGACCCTCCTGCCTTGATGTTTCTGATAGACCCTCCTGCCTGGATGTTTCTGATAAACCCTATTGCCTTGATGTTTCTGATAGACCCTGTTGCCTGGATGTTTCTGATAGACCCTGTTGCGTGGATGTTTCTGATAGACCCTGTTGCGTTCATGTTTCTGATAGACCCTATTGCCTGGATGTTTCTGATAGACCCTGTTGCCTGGATGTTTCTGATAGACCCTGTTGCCTGGATGT